CCCAACCTCCATGTGCACTATGTCTACCATTAGCAAGTACTCTAAGATGAGTAATTCTTCACAGCCTTTATTAGAGAGTCATTGAATGGTTTCTGTTGGAAGGGATCTGAAAGATCATCCAGTTCCAGCCCCCTGTAATGGGCAGGGACACCTTCTCCTAGACCAGGCTGCTCAAAGTCCCACCCAATGTGGCCATGAACACTTTCACAGACGAGGCATCCACAGCTCCTCTGGGCATCCTGTTCCCAGTGCCTCACCACCCTCACAGTAAAGAATGTATTCCTAACATCTAATTTAAATCTTCCCTCTTCTAGTTTAATATTGCGACCCCTTGTTCTGTCACTGTCTGTGTAAAAAGTCATCTTTTAGGCATCACCTCTCTCTCTGGAGTTGTCTCTTCTCCATGCTGAACCCAGCTTTCTCAGCCTGTTTCTACAGGAGAGGTGCTTCATCTCTTCGATCATCTCTTGTTACCTTCCTCTGAATTTGCTCCAACAGGTCCACATTTGCCTTGTGCTAAGAACTCCAGCGCTGGAAGCAGCACTCCAGGTGGGTTCTCATGAGAGCAAAGTAGAAGGGGAGAATCCCATCCCTTGCCCTGCTGCCCACACTTCTCTGGATACAGCCCAGGGTGCAGTTGGGTTTTCTGGGCTGCAGGGGCACATTGCCAACTCATGTCCAGCATTTGTCTGCCAGAACCTCCAAGTCCTTCAGAGCAGTGCTGCTCTCAATGAGCTCCTCTCCCTCCCAGTCTGTACCTGTATCTAGGACTGCCCTGACCCAGGTGCAGCACCTTGTACTTGGACTTGTTGAACTTCATGAGCTTCTCACGGTACCACTTCTCCAGCTTGTCGAGGTCCCTCTCGATGGCATCCCATCTTTTGCATCAATGACACTGCTCAGCTTCATGTTATCAGCAAACTTGCTGAGGATAAACACTGATTATAAATTTAAGGCTTTCGGCTATTACTTTTTTAAAGGAGTAAGTAAACTTCATAGTCAGGTTTTGATGCTGGTGTCTTCTAAGCACAGGTATTTTGTAAACTCAGGCTTACAGAGATACAAATTGAGATGTTAGCTGAGGACTTGTTGGACAGCAAAACAAAATTTATTTGAAATGCCATAATTATATAAAATTACATACCCAAAATAAGCTTAGGCTTTGCACAGGCTATCTGATATAAATTATATGGTATGAAATGTGATAAAAGTAATAATGCTTGTTAGCTGTATCAATATGACTACTCTCATGAAGTGTTGAAAAGCATGAAAGATTTTTGATCAGCTCTGGTATTTACAAGCTGCCTTTTCAAATCTTGCAACAAATTATGTATGCACTTCTAGACCATGGGAGCACAAGATCTTTCACATGAAATATTCATTCTGTAAATGCTAAAATAATCCTAAAACACGTAAAAAACCCATATCCCATTTGGTTGTGGCATAATTTTTATAACTTTTCTCCACTGAGAAGAAAGAATTTAACTAATTCAAACACAAAGTTGATCACTTTGTAACTTTATGTGGTATCAGACCTCAGTCCCACGCTGAATTTTCCTTGAGAAAAGCCAAGGAAAAAAAGCCCTGTAACACAGTCTCCTGCCTTATCAAAAGCATTTGACAAGTTGAGTTCTCAGCAGTTTTTGTATTGAAGTCAGCTTGGAGAAAATTCTAATTAGAGATGCAGAATTTTCTCTCGTCTCCTATTCTGATGAAAGCTGGAATACATGAGGGTAAAATGAGAGTGACAAAACCGAAAAATGTACTTAAAAGAAAAATGTGTTTCCATTGTAGATGCAAGATGTTTCATCTAGGTAATGTTCTTATTTCTAAGGAACTGTGTTGTGTGAAGAGAGTTGATACCTGCCTGAAGCACAGAGGATTTGCTCCAAAAAGTACATTAGACATGTGTTTGCCTGCACAGGAGGCAAAATAGTGGAATACATGTAGCTAAAAACTTAAAAAATTCTTATAATTTTTAGCAATTGCAAGAATACTAAAATCCCAAGCCCACAGTTCTGTAACCAAGTTACAGCTTTTGCACTAGGAGAAAGTATAAACACAAGTGGCATGAGGAAAAAATCACTCCATTTGTGCAAAACGAATCATAAAACACCATCTTCAAAAATATAGATATGACAGTGATGTGCTCTAAAACATGCACAAAAGGCAGAGTTGTGCTGGGGGTTGTCTGAGACTCATGTGTGAACTCTAGCAAGAATTTGTACTACAAGAATTGCAGGCTTTGGCTCAAAACATGCCACCACACCTATCCACCCTACACCCATGCCCCAGGATGCTGTCCAGTTGAAACCCTTCTAGCAAGTCTTTCATATACACTTATTATAATATGTTGGATGTGTCAACAACTGGCACCAAAGAGGTCCTACCGAACAAGTAAGATAAGTAGCATGACTGAAGCTAAACCAGAGCTACAAAGTCAGTTCTACCTGTCTCATGTCATCTTAATACAGGAGTTGGTATGATGTGCGAAATTGAGACAGCAGGGTAAGGGGAAAATCCCAAAGGGAATCTTAATTTTGAATTAACTGTATTTTAATAATGAAGAATAAACTTCAAGGCAACCCAAGCAAATTAACATTATGACCCTTTGCACATGGAAGCTTTAACTAAAACAAGGTTGTTTTTATACAAAAATCCTAAACAAACATCTTGTTTGTCTTCTCACCAAGGCCAGAAGTACAGAGAGAATAAAAATCTAAGATGAAACCCAGATGTACAGTACACAATAGCCCTCTATGCTACCATGAAAAAACATTAACTACCTAAGCAAAATACAGACTCTGCTTATTTCCCAATCAATACTTAACACTTATGTCAAGAAAACTGTCACCATCATTCTGATTCCTCATTTCCACACTTCATAGATGTCCCAATTCACTATGTGCATGAATCAAATCTTAGAAGTCAACAATTCCCACAACTAATTAATTCCTACAATTAATCACACAATAAACATTTCTTCAAGCTAAAGGGAATAAACCTTTATAAAGTGAAGGTATTTGATATTTATTAATCAAGAATTAGAAGAACCCTAGTTCTTCCCTAAGTTCTTAAATTATCTTGTTCACAAGAGCGTTTCTTCTCCATTAAGTCATATAGGTTATCCTTCATAACAGCCCTGCATTACAGGATCTTTTACAACAATGTAATAACTGTTTCAAAAGCCCCCAAAATATGGCGAGCTTATTACACTAGAAAAAATAAGTCTGAATGGTGAGAAACTATGATATGATGTACAGTGAATTATGTCACAGTCCATTTCAAAGGTATGAAGTTGCCATTAGCTGAAGAAGGCAAAACTTTGTCTTTCTTCCACTGCTGAGGGCTGAAAATGACAGAATCATTTAGGTTGGAAAACACCTCTGAGATCATCAAGTTCAACCTTTGACCAACCACCACTTTGTCAGCTAGACCACAGCCATAAGTGTCATGTCCAGTTGTCCCTTGAACACTTTCAGGGATGGTGACTCTACCAACCTCCTTGGGCAGCCTGTTCCAATGCTTCATAATCCCCCTTCAATTCAAACTGTGGAATAACACTTAAGGATCCTCCCCAGTTCCCTCCCAAAGACAGGGAAACATGAAAGACTTTGTCTCAAAAGTACAGCTAGGCATGTGCCTACATGTGACACACACAGCTACAAAGACAGGGTTTTATAGGAACTCCAGGATGGCCTCTCAAAGCACTCGGCTTCTATAGAGCCTCACCCTCCCAAGCCCACAAACACAGAAATGGGTGTGCCAGGGAGGGGAATCCGCTTCCAGTGGCCACACCACAAAGGACTGCTAGTGGCAAAAAACAGGACTGAAGGCACTCTGCACTGCTCAGCTATGTAGCATGGCAGAGCCACATGTGAGAATGCCACAACTGACTCATCTCAGCCTCCTTCACCAAGGCCTCTTCTGACAAGTAAGGAGAGCCCTTGCCCCTGCCTGGCTCCCTACCTCACACTCCGACACCTGCGAGCTGACCTGACAACAGCAGGATGCTGCAGGCCCAGGGACAAAAACCACGCTGCTGATTACCAATCACTTCCACTGCAAAGTCAAATAACTAGGTAATTTTTAAAAAGTGGTTGTACAACTGTATTTACAAAAGAAGCTGCATATGGAGGATAGCATTTCAAGACGCATAAAAGGAAATGCGCAGTTTGCTCCATTCCACAGCAAACGTTATACAAGCTCTTCAGCTTTCATTTGCAAGTCACAGATCTGGCACAAAATTAAGATTCTAGCATTTTTTATTTAACCTCCAAAGTGCTGCATTTTGACCAGAAGACCAGCAGAGCAGGTCTTTAAAAAGCAGCAGAGGAATCCAGTCCTGGCCACACCCGGCCATAGTGGGGCTGCGTCTGCTGCTGTTACAAAACCCAGCCAGGTACAGAGATACAGCATTCAAAATAGCCCAGAAGAAAAAAATAGAAATAAATACGTCCAAAAGTTTAAAAAATTATATAATTAAAAATATAAATAAAATATAAAAACATATGTGCATATATATACATACATATATATACATATATATATATAATCTTACAATACATTGTTGGTATATATCACCTATCTATATTATACATAGATATAAAATACAACTAAATAAAACAAACGAAAAACCAGACACTCGAGCTGCCCTGGAAAGCGAAGCGCCCCTGTGCTCAATTTCACCAGCAGCCTGGCGAGGCCAAAGCCGCATTCGACGCTTCTAAGATTTTTACGTGGAGGACGCAGCACACGCTGCGACCCCGGGCGAGAAGGGGCTGCGATCCCGCCCGCCCTGGTACGAGCGCGTTCGCTCCGCCCGCGGAGTGCGGGGCGGCTCCGTGCCCGCCGCGGCTGCCCCCCGAGGAGCCCCCCTGGCCCCGGGATCCTCCCTCCTGCCCCCCGAGGAGCCCCCCTGGCCCCGGGATCCTCACTCCTGCCCCCCGAGGAGCCCCCCTGGCCCCGGGATCCTCGCTCCTGCCCCGGGGGATACTCACTCCTGCCCGGGCCGGGGCGCCCCCGCTCCCCCTCGCTCCCTTCTCCTCCCGCCGCCGCAGCCGCCGCAGCCTCACTGGGCGGCGCCGAGGCGGCCCCGCCGAGCCGCGCACCTGCCGCAGGTGAGGCGGGCGGGGCAGGGGCGCCCGCTCCCCTTCCCGGCAGCGGCTCCCCGGCGGTGCCGATTCTGCCCGGGCCGGTCCCGTCCCGTCCCTCCTCCCTTCCCGCTGTCCCGGGCCCGTTCCATACTGCGCTCCTTTCCCCCCTCCAAACAGGCAAATCCTACAGCCGCCTATAACCGGCGGTGCCGTAAAGCGAGGCGCAGGCGGTGCGACAGCCGCGAGGTCCTCTGAGGAAGATGGCGGCGGGGGAGGCGAAGTCGGTGCTGTTCGTGTGTCTGGGTGAGCGCGGCAGGGACGGCCGCTCCCGCCGCTCCCTCTGCCACTGCTCCGCTCCGCTCCGCTCCGCCCCGCCGCTCGTCGGCCCGGGGCACCGCCGGGGTGGGGCGGGAGCGCGGTGAGGCAAGGGCCGGGACGGGCGAATTGCGGCACCCGCCGCGGTGCCGCCCTCGGACGGTTCCGCGGGTTTGCCGTGTCGGGGAGGGCCCGAGTAGTAGCCAGGAAGTGAGAGAGAAGGCGGAATACAGCTGCGCCCTTTTTGTGATGGGAACGACGAGGAAGGGCTTAGCGTTGGGGGCGGCAGAACACTGGAGCAGGTTGCCCGTGATGGTTGTGGAGTCTCCCTCTGTAGAGAGTTCCCATCGCACCTGGACGCGTTCCTGTGTAAACTGCTCTGGGTGAGCCTGACTCGATAGGGCCATTGCACTAGATAATATCCAGAGGTCCCTTCCAACCGTAATGGTTTTGTGATTCTGTGAAATCAGTAGGAAGTAGTGAAGAACGTGAAATGCAGTGTTGACAAACGCGAATCTTCTTGTGTGTGGGAAAGCGCAGCCCCTAAGTAGTCATAAACCAGCTCTGACCTAAGGCTGCTGCTTGGGGGCAGCACGGAGAGGTGGCTTTGAGCAGCGTTCTGATACGGGCTGTGAAGCACTTGGCCTCTGGAACAGCGGGGTGGAAACGGGGAGCCTGCCCGCAGGTTTGCTATTGGGAGCACCTGACGTGCGAAGGGGAGAGAAAACCACAACACGAACCACTGAAGTTAATGTAAGAGTTGCTGTAAAAAGAGGGAAAGAAGGGTAGGACTTTAAGTTAAAAAAGGAACTTGGTGGAGGCTGATCTGTTACAATCTAATTAAATTCTTGATCTGGTATGAGAATGAGTGAAAAGAATTAAGACTTCTGAAAGGGTACCAAAATGAAGAAACAGGAAACTTTCTTTTACTGCTACTTTTTATGGTTAAGTTATAAACCTTGTCATGCAAAGTCCCAGAAAACAGAAGTTTGATGTGATCAGAAATCACCTGAATGCTTTTCTGGAGTTTAGGACAGTCAGTTACTGGTAAACAAAATAATCACAACCAGGAAAAAGCTAACCTGACAATATAGATTACAGAGCCATGCCCCATTTTGTACATGCTTTCGCTCAACTTCTGCTTTCTTCAGGATATAACTAGCCAGGTGGCTTTCTGCTCTGCTCTAGGAGGGCTGTTAACATTATCTGCTTCCTAGCCCATCTAATCTTATCTATGTGCTATGAACCCCTGGCAGTTTGCCACGTTTGTTACAAAACCGTTAGTTAATGTTTGGGTTTCTTGCTATCTGCTTTTTTTTGTTGTTGTAATAGGAGATATGCAGATTAGCTGAATAGTAAAATATGAGTTTAATTTTCTGAAATATGTTTTGATGTTTACCTTTGAGTGAAATCAACCCCTAATAATAATCCAGAGAAAACATCCTTTAGTAAGGGATTATCAGTTGCTGTGTGTTTAGAAACTAGCGGTCTATACAGATGTTTTTGTATAAAACATCTTAATTAATAGGAATCCTCTTTCCCAAACATGATGTTCTAAGGACAGTGGTAATCACCATCCCTATGTGCTGAAGGGTGTGCCAGTGGGGAAGAAGGCTGGTCTGGCTAAACAGGGAGTTCTGGCTAAGACTGGAGGAAGAAACGAGAGATTATGACCTTTGGAAGAAGGGGCAGGCAGCTCAAGAGGACTAAAGGATGTCATGAAGTTACGCAGGGAGAAAAATTAGAAGGTCCAAAACCCAGCTAGAACTTAGTGTTTACTGCCATAAAGAACAAAAAAGAATATTTCTATAAATACATCAGCAGCAAAAGGAGGGCTAAGTAGAATCTCTGTCTTTACTGGATGCAGGAGGAAACAATGACAAAGGATGAAGAAAAGGCTGAGGTGTTTAATGCCTTCTTTGCCTCTGTCTTGAACGCTCAGACCAGTTTGTCTCTGTGTACCAGCTCCCTGAGCTGGAAAATAGGGATGGGGAGTAGTATCACTGATTAAGAGAATAGAATCAGATTCACTAAGGTTGGAAAAGACTTCCAAGATCACCAAGTCCAACCTTTGACCAAACACCAATCTGCCAATTTAAACCATAGTGCGAAATGCCACATCCAGTTGGTTCTTGAGCACTTCAGGGACAAGGACTCCCTCACCCTGCCGGGCAGTTCCTTTCAATTCTTAACCACCCTTTCAGTGAAAAATTTCCTCCTCCTGTCCAAACTGAACCTCTCTTGGTGCAGCTTGAGTCTGTATCCTCTTCTATTACAAGTGGCCTGGGAATAGGCCACTGTCTAGAGTCTCCTTTCAGGTATTGTAGAGAGCAGTAAGGTCTCCCTGAGCCTCCTTTCCTCCATCTTAAACAATCCCACCTCCCTCAGCTGCTTCTCACAGGATTTGTGCTCCAGACCCTTCACCATCCTTGGTGCCTGCCCTTCCTTGGACACACTGCAGCACCTCAATGTCTTATAGTGAGGGGCCAGAGCTGCAGGTAAGATTGGAGGTGTGGTCTCACCAGTACTGAGTACAGGGAGACAATCTCTGGTTCTGCTGGCCGCATGATTGCCAATACAGGCCAGGATGTCACTGGCCTGCTTGGCCACATGGGCACGCTGCTGTCAGCTGGGTGTCATCCGGCATCTCCAGGTCCTTTTCCGCCAGGCTGCTTTCCACCCATGTTTCCTGCACTGAGGAAGCTGCTGGAAGTGCTCACTGAGCCACTTTCAATCATTTACCATCAGTCCTGGTCAGCTGGGAGATTGTGGTTGACTCGTGGTTGGCAAATATGACACTCATCTACAAGAAGGTTTGAAAGAATGACCTGAGAAACTGCAGGCCTGCCAGCCTGATGTTGGTGCCACAAAAGGTCATAGAGCAGATGATCATGAGTGCCATCATGTGGCACAGGTCAACCAGGGCATCAGGCCCAACCAGGATGGGTTTAGGAAAGGCAGGTCTTGCACGAACGACCTGATCTTCTGTGACCAGGTGACCTGCCTCGTGGATGAGAAAAAGAGGCATGTTGTCTACCTGGACTTCGCTATAACTTTTAACACCATTTCCCACACCATTCTCCTGTAAAAACTGGCTGCTTAGGGCTTGGGTGGGTGCACTGTTTCCTGGGTAAAACACTGGATGTGTGGGCCCAAAGTAGTGGTGAATGGATTTACAGCCAGCTGACAGCTGGTCATGAGTAGTGGTTCCCCAGGGCTCAGTGTTGGGATCAGTCCTGTTTAATACCTTAATCAGTAATCTGGACAAGGGGGTTGAGGGCTGCTGTAGTCAGTTCACACGTAGCACCAAGTTGGGTGGTAGTGTTGATCTGCTGGAGAGTAGAAAAGCTCTGCAGAGTGAGCTGTACAAGCTGTGTCAAATTCAACAATAAGAGGTTCAACAAGACTTAAGTGCTGGGTCCTGCCCTTGGATCACACCACCCTCTGCAGTGCTGCAGGCTGAGGACTGAGTGGCTGGAAAGCTGCCCCGTGGAAAATTAGCTGGAGGTGCTCATCGGGCAGAGCTGATCATGAGCCCGCTGTGCCCAGGTGGCAAAGAAGGCCAATGGCATCCTGGCCCAAGTCAGCAATAGTGTGGCAGCAGGATGAGGGCAGGGAGTGTCCCCCTGTACTCGGCATTGGTGAGGCTGCATCTCAAGTGTTGTGTCCAGTTCTGAGCTCCTCAGTCAAGAAGGACATTGAAGTGCTGGAGTGTGTCCAGAGAAGGGCAGCAAAGCTGGTGAAGGGTCTGGAGCACAAGTCTGACGGGCAGCTATGGGAGCTGGGGTTGTTCAGCCTTGAGAGAAGGAGGTTCAGGAGAGACCTCGCCACTCTCTACAATATCTGAACTAAGTTAACAGAGACGAGAGGAAATGGCCCTAAGTTACACCAGGGAAGGTTTACATTGGATGCTAGGAAAAACTTCATCACAAAGGGGTTGTCAAGCATTGGAAGGGGCTGCCCAGAGGAATAGTTGAGGCTCCATGGGTATTTAACAGATGTGTAGACGTGGTGTTTAAGAACATGAGCTAGTGGGGGACTTGGCAGTACTAAGTGAACAGACAGATATGATCTTCAGGGTCTTTTCCAATCTAAACTATTCTATGTTTTGTGAAACAATTCATACGTGTGGGTGTGTAAGCCCACAGTGCTGATTTGCACTATAACAAGGTTCTAATGCAAGAGCTCCTTAGTGTAACATAATAGTTTATATTAATTAATTATTAGGCCTGAGGAAAGGGTGTACAAGTACCAATCAGTACCAGTGTTAATAGGATGGATTGTCTTAATCAGATGTTGTAAATAGCCTTTAAATTTCCTCTTCTGTGTTACTGGGTTATAAAAAAAAAAACCTTAGTGATATGTGGTGTGAAAAGGTAATTGACATGATAAGCACTTTTTTTCCCAGTGACATACACTCTTCTCAGTTAAATTTTGTAGGCAATTTGTTTCTTGATCCTGCTTTAAGATTGCTCTTTTTTTTTTTTTTTTTTTTTTGTTTTTGTTTTTTTGGTTATTCTTCAAGAGTGATACCTCTTCCCTCCTAAATTTTATTAGGAATAATAGCTGAGATTATATCTGAAAAGAATAGTAAACAGATTTCTAGAACTGCATTTAACTGCAGTGTTGGTTAATGCAGTACATTAATTCTAAAGTTTGCCACATCTAGTGAGAGTGGATTCCAGAAATGACTC